CCGAGACCTCGGGGACATCACGCGGCACATTTTGGGAGCGCCCAGAAACGCCCAAGAGGTCCAGGAATTCAACATAGATGGGCTCCCCGAAAAGTTTTCACAGCCAAGACGTTGAACTTAGGACCATTGGGGTTTTTTGGAGGGGCTCCAGGTTTCGGGTCGTCCCTTGGATCTTAGTAGTCGGGGAACTTCTCCTTGTCCGAGGCTCGCCGTGGCCAGAAAAGCCCATTCGTTCCTCCTCCAGTGTTCCTTATGGTAGCACGATGACTGTACAAGGTTCAACGCAGAGCGTTCGAAGAGACCTGAGAACGCTCCATTCAGTGCCTGCGGTGTGGTGGCGGACGGTTTAGCACGCAGACAGGAAAGCATTGAGGAACACGGTCGTCGAGGGATTCGCTGCGGTGGCCCAGGCCCCACCTGAGTGGTTCGCACAGTGAGGGATCCGTAGCAATCATTGGCCCGTTGGATTTCTGACGGCAGGGGCGTTGAGTAAGACACGTTCAGCCCCGGGGAGGGAGCGACTTTTGCACCACATGTCTTGTATTGAGAGCGGTGAGGATGTTCCGCCACTTCCCAGCTAAAGTTGTTTCAGCGCTGGTGGCCTTGTCCCAGCTGTTTCGGGCTCGTGTAAGCCCCTGCCAGTTTGTTTCTGGCTCTGGCCTCCTCCACTTTCATGGGAGTTCCCACTTGCATGTTCGCGAGTGCGGAAGCGGGCATGTCGGAAGTGAGGTTGTCCCGCAATTGATCATCCCGATCAAGACTGCGTTGGCTAGCCGAGACGAGGAAATCGCTTGCTTACCATCCGCTCTAATGCACTTCGTACATCTACCGTGGTCGACAACGCAGCGTGCTTTTCTTATCCTTCTAGCCTCTATTGCGCTTGTACTTGACAGCTTGCGACCCGCACGAGTGTTCGTGCGTTCGTTCTGGTGCATGCGTTGAGCCGTCTGATGACAGACCGTCCCATAGCCTCGAAGATCCGAAGATCTCACCACCCAGTCCGTCGCCGGAAGGTCTTAGGATTTTGGAGGCCTTTCGGCGCTCGAGACATCCTCGGAGACCGACACGGGTCCCAAGACGGTCTGCTCGCCCCGCCTGGAACGAGGGCTCTTAAGTGTTCCGTTGCGCAGGAGCGGAGGTCCCTAAGGGCATTTCCAGGCATTTCCTCGTATCATTGTTGATTCTGGTTTACGTTGGACGTGGCTAGCAAAAATGATCCCAGTCACCCTCGACTGACTGGTCGGTGTGGTCACCAGACCGTCTGGGAACCGCCAAGCTGCGTACTTCGACGCGCGTCGTGGTGGCCATACCGTGCCGGCGAGCAGCGAATGGGATCGGTTGCGTGCAAGAGTAACGCCTCGCCGGAGTTGCCTTTTGTGTGTGGCTTGGTGGGGGGCGCGAGGGGGCCAAACCCAAGTGCGCAGGCCGCTGCTATCGCACCGCACGCAGCGATCGGCAAGCTCCACACCAAAAGGACACCCGGGCCCAGGGCTACGCTCGCGCGCAGCCAGATCCGCCGCCTCCCCTGAGATCGGACGTCTCAAAAAAATGAGACGACGTGAAACATCCAGCCAAGAGCCCCAGACCTGATCTTTCTGCGCCACCTTTCGATCAGGGTTGATCCGTGAGGGTCCCGGGGCCCGAAGTTATGCAAAAACGCCCGGCTCGACAAAATTGAGTCGCCAGGATCTCAGGGTCGCCCTGGTGGATTTTGGGCGGCGCGGGTTTTGCATCTCGTCGGGCGCCAGGGAGCGCCGCCCCCGCCGAAGTCGCCCCGAGCCGTCCGCCCTCTCAGGCCTCGTCCTCCTCCGCGCTGCTCCCCCCTGCGAGGCGGGGGAAGAGATGCGCGGCCACCACGGCCACAGCGACTGCGGAAGTCCGAGGCGCAAGGGCGCCCTCGAGGGCGCGAAGTTTCTTCGCGCTTCGCGGTTCGGCTCCGATTCCTCCTCATCCTCCTTTTCTCCTCTGGAACGCGGCGCGAGAGCGCGAAGTTGTTCGCGCTTCGCGCAGCGCGAAGCGCGAAGTTGGGAGCCCTTGGAGGCGGGAATTTACCCATCACCACCGGCTGGGGGATCGGGGGGGCCTCGGCAGGCGGTGGATATGGAAAAGTTGGGGGGTCCCAGGGGCCAAAATCCTGCGCCCAAGCGTGCAGGCGCATGGGGCGAACGCGGCGCCAGCAGGCACCAGGGACATCAGAAAAATGAGTTGGTCGCCCGTCCAGGCCTCGAGGTCCCCTTTTGCTGAAGCAAGCAGCGATTGATTGCTTTGCTGGGGAAGCGTCTGGAGCAAGAGCGAACCTCTTCCGCTAAAAGCTAGGCAGGCTACGCACAGCTTTAATTCAAGCGTCCGGGACAAGGCGCACGGCGCAGAGCGCCACTGCATCGTGTGTGTGTGTGTGTATGTATGTATGGCGGCCCCTGGGACGCCCTTGGACGAGGTCCGCTCTTCCAGGGCGCCCGGCCGGGCCTTGCGGGCAGACTCGAAGCGATCAGAGGGGTCATCGGAGAGGCGGAATAGAGAGAGACCCAAGACAGCACAAGAGCGCTCCAAGAGGAACCCCGATGGTCCGAGGACGGCCCACGAGGCCCCCAAGAGGCCCCAAGGGGCCGTTAAGAGAGCCCCGAAGAAGCAAGCATCGTCCGACTATCTTAAGAAAGTGTACATGTTTAGCATATCCGCTTTTTGGGTCGTCGCAGCGTCCACGAGGGCCCGACGGGCCCCCGATATCGCCCCAAGACGGCCCAAGAGGCCCCCCAGAGGGCTTGAAGACGGCGCCAAAACTGCCCCAAAGAACCCCGAGATTGCCCACAAGAAACCCAAGATGTCCCCAGAAAGCTCCCCAAAAAGGCCCACGAATGCCATGGGATATCCCCAAGAAGGCCTCGGCCTCCATGTTCGTGGCGTCCGACGGCCATTGGCCCTTTTCCCCGTTTCTCCCCCCCGTTCCTCCCCGCTTCCGTCTTTTCAGCCCCGCCCTCATCCCTGCTCCTTTCCCGTCCCCCGTTCATGGACAGGCGCCATCGCAACAGTTTGATGCTGCGTCGTTTGCCAGCACCTTCGCGCGTGAAAAAACAGCATTCCTTCCCCACTGCTGCGCACGATTGCGCAAGCGCATCGGGCGAACACAGTGTCAGCAGGTACCAAGGATATCAGAAAATTGAGCCGGTCGCCCGTCCAGGCATTGAGGAACGATTTACTGTTTAAGAGGGCCCAAGAGGGCTCCGAAAAGGCCCCAAGAAGGGCCCACGAGGGCCACCAAAAATTGCAAAATCGACCCTTCCGCCCCGAGAGGGCCCCAGGAGGTCCCAAGAAGGGTCCAAGAGGCCCCAAGAAGCCCCGAGATAGGCCATGGGAGCCCCCCGGGAAAGCCAATGAAAGCTTCCCAGAAGGCCGGCAAAGGCATCAGAAGGCCCTGCAAAGCCCAAAGTTCCGAAGACGGCCCAACGGGGGCCCAAAACACACACACACACACAAACAAACAAACACGCACACACACACACACACACACACACCAAAAAAGGGGGTTCGGAACGTCCGAGTCCCAGTTTCGCGTCGTTCCCGTTAGACACGTCCATCGCCAAACCTGCATCATGTTGACTTCGGCGCCCCATGTGCGCATTTCTAGCCGTTCGGCCCGCATTGTTTTTCTTTCACGCTCGTTGTACACATGCATCCGTAGCCGTCGGCTTAAACTTTTTGCTCTACCAACATTCGCATACCACCTCCAGCATGTCGGCGCTCACCTGCTTGATGTGTAGTCATCAACGCTTTCTCCCACACCCAACGGCTGCAATCCAATCGGGCCTGCATATCGTGCGCCCGCCGACGAAAAACGTAGTCCAGAGCGACGCCCAAACAGGAGACTTTTCAATGCTCTCGGTGCGGGGAGCTTCGAGACCGAACGCGCTTCAGCGAGACTATGCTGGAAAAGCCCGCGTGCGCCCGTGCTTGCAGTACCTGTGCCTCGTCAGCGCAGGGTCGCGGCGGTCGCCCCAAGCAAGAGCTCCTCCCCTGCTTGCGCTGCGGGGAAGTTTTAGATCAGACTCACTACAGTGCCAGCCAGCTCAAAGCGCCCAGCCGTACGCGGGCGTTTTCGTCCTGCATCAAGCCCACCCCGGCATGTCCCACACCTGCGGACCTGCAATCCGTATCATTGGGGCCTCGGGATTGCATTTACGTTCATTGTGGCGTCGCCCGGTTCTCCAGGGAATATACGGGCTTCTGCTGTCAGCTTGGAAAGCACGCAATCGATTTCACGAGATACGTCGCGGCGTTAGGGCCTGCGCTGTTGCAGACGTACCGCTGCGATGGCTTCAGCGCCCACCCCCGAGCATGCAACAACCTCGTCGGGCTCGCCGCGCGCGACATCCAGTCCAGCATCACAGAGCGAGAAGCCAGCTTTACGCCCAACAAGCCTTCCTTCACGGGCATTCCCTGGACGATGTGCTGAAAAAGCATGGACGTCAGAGGGAGCCAACGCCGTGCAATACATTGCCGTCGACCCCCAACTACGGTCGCAATCGGCGAAGCGCCTGCAATTGCCAGCACCTTCGCGCTTGAACAAAGCAGCATTACTTCCCCATTCCTGCGCACATGCGTGCAAGCACATCGGGCGAGCGGGATGTCAGCAAGCACCAGGGATATCAGAAGATTGAGCCGATCGCCCGTCCAGGCCTCGAGGTCCCCCCCTGCTGAAGCAAGCGATGATGTATGGCTTTGCCGGGGAAGCGTCCCGAACAAGGCGCGTGGCGCGAAGCGCCAATGCAGTCTTGCACATGTATATATATATATATATATACATACATACATACATACATACATATATACATATATACATATATACATATACATACATAAATACATACATACATAGACATAGACATAGACATACATCCATATCCATATCCATATCCATATCCATATCCATCTATACCGCCCGCTGGTGTCCGAAAGCATTAGGCTCCCAGGCGGTGGATACGGATATATCCCCATCTCGCGGGAAGGTTGCTCCAGGCGATGCAGGCCAGGCCCGCGCCGAAGTCCATGCGCGTGTCCCTCGCGCGTCCTCGGCGGCACGCTTCGAGGGGCAGCTTCGGGGGTGCAGTGCCCCGCGCCGCCGCGTGAAGCGCAAACGGGAAAAGCTACCCAAAACCCACCCCCCGTCGCGGGCACCCACCGTGCGCCAAAAGGGTCGGCGGCGCGCCAGGAGGAGGTGAGGACGCCGCGCGCGCCGACAAGGCTATGGTTTCGGCTGCGCGTGGAATGGTGGCCCCTCGCCGCAGTGACCTTTTGGTGCGGACCCGCGGGGATCACCACTGGGCACCCGCTCGAAGCGGTTCGCGCGCCTGGGATTGGCCCTCTCGCGGCCCCGTGAAGCCGTACCGAAAGACACTGTTGCCCAGGGTCGCTCTTCGCATGCAGCCGACCGCGCTGGAGGGGTAGCCGGTGGCGGATGTTTCGGGACGCAGAGAAGAGGTGAGTTCCGATTGTGCAGGTATGCTCTATATGGCGGAGACAGGTTTTGACAGAATTTGGCGACGTAGCTGGAGGTAATTAGTTTTCTGATGCCCTGGTTTCCCGCCATCACCGCTACAGGCAGAAGGCCAGATGGCCAATCCTCGACGACGTCGGCGCGCATCTTTGGAGTCTTGGAGGCCACCATCATCCGACCTGCAATCCTAGGCATAGATGTGTGCATCTCTCTGTCTCTTTATGTCTATATTTATCTCTCTTTCTCTCTCTTTCTATGTGTGTGTGTGTGTTCGACCGCATGTTCGGCGAATTCGTTGGGGAGGCCATGAGGGGCTCTCCTCGGGCGACAGCTTTGGGACTCGCCGCGCGCGAACGGTCTCGAGCTTAGTCGCTCGTTGTTTCTTATCCTATTCCTCCTCTGCTGGTGCTGTCGTCGTCGTCGTCTTCCTCCTCCTCCTCCCTTGCTCCACCCTGCTCCCTGCCCAGTAACTCCACTTGGTTTTCGCCAGTCAGCCATACGGGTTGCATTTCGCGTTTTTACCTCCTCACTTGTCTCCTCCCGGATCCTGAGCTACCGTGCGTTTCAGCTCCTTCTCTGAATGTTAAGTTCGGTTCTCGAGCCATATTGCCCACCCGTTGCGATGAAGCACCAGGGGCGGTGTTTCATGTGCGTCTCTTGCTAGGCCTTCCTCCTGGCTGTTCCTTCTTCCTCGTCCTTTCCTCCTCTTCCTCCTCTCCTCCCTTCCCCTCCCTGTTGTTGGTGTTTTTTCCACTACTGGCATAGGCCAGGTTCTTTTTAACGCGTGATGTGCGTGACAACCGTTTTCGGCAATCACGATGCCCACTCTCCCTATTCGTCTTTCTGTCCTTCCTTGTCCTCCTCCTCCGCATACCGTTCTCCTCTTTTCGACAGTGCTCTTTTATTATGGGATGTTGTTGTAAATCAAGCCGCTGGTCAGTCTTTGCCGCGTATCTCCACGGAGTGCATGGGTTACCCGTGAGATTTCCCCCATCCACCCCCCAAAAAGGCAACCATATATACGCACACACACACACACACATTAAACACCAATACATAGGAGATTGTATGAATAATCAGTTATGCTCCTTGATTTCGTGTTACGTCTCACTGCTGCTGCTTAACTTTTCTCAGCCCCTGCCCCAGCTGTCCAGCGTGGCTAGCGCATTCGACGCGACAGGGGATCTTGGGCATCTGGCTGCAGCGCAAAACAATGATAAGCCCCGCATTGGCTGACCGACACTTGCCGACCTCATCATCATCAGCATTGTCATTATCGTCGTCGTCGTGTCATCATCAGCATCAGCATCTACATCCGCATTCACATTCTCCTTCCCCTAAGCCCTTCCTTTGCCGCCGCGGGCTTCGTCGACACCGCGATCCGCGGTTGTTTGGCACGCTAGCTTAGTTGGCGGAATGACCGCTTGGCTCGGAAGTGCCGGTTCAAGTTCGGGCTTGAACGAGTGGTTCTAATATTTTGTGCCGCTTGCCAACAGGGTACGATAGGTTCGCGTCGTGTCGATGCGGCGACGATCCTGTCGCGCGCGTTCAAGCATGACGCCGCCAGTAGCCCCACATCTCCAATTTGGAACGATCTGGCGATCGAAAAGCCGTTGATCGTTCAAAGTTGAACGATCTACACGGTATTAGAGATCAACGTTGGGATCGTCAAGACGCGAAGCTGCCATGATCAAAGAACGAAGAGGAAAGGTGCAAGAGAAGAAGGTGCGGACCTGCTCGGTCTGACATCAGTGCGGCCGAAACTCCATTGTATACCGGCGAGGGCAGTTGTATGCAAGCAAGTTGAAGGTGAGTTGTTAGAATGAAGTGAAAATGTTTTGCGCGTGTGTTTGCTAATATCTTGGTGCTATCGCAGTTGTCTCCCTGACAGGACACCATATGCACTGTGCTTAAGGTCCTCCAGACTCTGGTACAAAGTGGTGATATGATCGGAGAGGCGCTTGTGCCCTACTACAGACAGGAGGGAGGGGCATGTGTGATGATGGCGCGAGCCAGCATTTCAAGAAGTTCGAGGCAGACTCGGATGTCTGCGTCTTGCGACTGGTTGCTTCCGTGGTTTTCTGCACGATAGTACGGTTGACAACGGATCTAGCTCTGTACTTTCATCCCAGTGAACGAGCAGCGTGGACGCCTGCCCAGGTAGGCACGGGCGCGGCGCAAGCAGATGTATGGGCCATTACGTGTGAGTGGAAGTATGTTGTATGCGAGGGCACCTGTAAGTAGGATGTGCGGCATGCGCCATGGATCCACGTCTCGTTGTCAGCGTCCATGTTCTTACCCCGACCAGGCTCATTTAAGAAACTTGTGTTGGGCAATGGCACGTCGAAAGGTCTCGTTCAAAGAATGCCTGCTGAAAGCATGCTCCCGCACTCCTCCTTGCAGGGCTGGCATGTACCAAACGGAAAGTCCCGCCGATTCCTCAGATTATTCGTCCTTTGAACGAATCCTCCGCCTCTGTCTTTGCTTGCTGCCGTCGGTTTTGTTTAGTTGGAATCCGTGGAAATTAGCTTGACATTGGAGATGCCGTGTATGTGCCCCGCTCTGACACGGCGAGGTCCCGTGGACTTGCGTTGACGCTTGCGTGGGGCGCATGCGACAGACTAGATTGGTACGGTGTTCCCGTGCGTCTCTCCTTTGAAGCGGTGGGAGATCTTGCCTGTCTTGAACATATACAAGAACAAGAACAAGAACCTCGGGGATTCGATGGACTATTCCCAGCGCAAGCGCATGAACATCGGAGACTTGATATCAGAGACGCTTGAGATGTTGGAGGTGTCGGCGGGCAAATTGAATTGGGCTACGCAGCATGCGCGATCGGGGAAAGCACTGGTGATTGAATCCACATCTCAATACACATTGGCGTTGCAACGCATGCTCGGCTGAGAAAGATAGCGGGTGTTGGTGCCACACGGCGAGACATATTTCGGGAGACGAAGGCACCAGCACTATGTAGTCGTGCTTGCTTCGAAGCGTACTGGGTGGCGGCAGGTCAGGCGAGGAGAGGATGAGGGAGGGGGGGACAGGGGAGAAGCAAAGGGCGAGGGAATAAAGAGGGAGAGGGAGGTGGAGGGGGAAGGCGGAGGGGAGGAGGACTGGCCGGCGCAGGGAAACATCCATCCCCAGTCGCTCGTCGCAGGAGCGGGCGGTTTCGTTATCGAGGGCATATCGCCGATCTATCAGCGGTGCATCGCCGATTCCAGGTTCCAGGTCCATGTTTTCCCCCTGAGCCAGTCCCCCCACCCCCGTCTCCCCTCGGAAAAGGAGAAGGGGGAGTGGGGAGAGAGGAAGGCGCTGGGGTGTGGAGAGTGGCGTGACGCTTGCATGACCTGGTGGTTTGCGTTTGGGGGTCGCCAGCTTCTCAACGACTGATTGGATTCCTGTGTAGCGCTCCGCTGGAGGATTCCAGCGGGGGTCCCTGGGATCTCTTCCACCAGAACGTTTGTTCTCAGGGGCCGGGGGGAGGCGGCTCACCGGCCCGGCGGCGCGGCCCGGAATCAGCTGGCAGCGCTCACGATGGTTCGGGGGTGGACAGACCTCCCACCCTGACACGTCGACTGAGGAATTGGCCGTTTTCGGCTCGCGAGAGGGCGTCGCGGCCGTCATTTTCGCGAGTCCAGGTCCGTCGGTTCCGGTCCCAGGCCGTTTTCACTAAGGGGAGGTCTACTAGAGGGAGGTTTGTCCACCGCCGAGTGGTGCTCTGGCTCGACTTTGCCCAGAAGTGCGAGTCATGGCTCGGTTGTGGCGGCCCAGAACCTGCCAGCAGCGCTCCCCACGTGGCGTTCTGGCTCGATCTGGTCCAGAAGTGCAGCTCACCATGGCGTTCTGGCGCTCATCATGGTCGGCCTGGAATCTGCCGGCAGCGCTCACTGTGGTGTTCTGGCGTGATACGGCATAGATATGCGACTCACTATGGTGTTCTGGCTGGCGGCCCAGAATCTGCTGGCAGCGCTCACTACAACATTATGGCTCGATTTTGACATGCGATTCACTATAGCGTTCTGGTTCGATTCGGCTCTGAAATGCTCTCACAATTGCGTTTTCGTTCGATTTCAGCTGAGTGGCATCTTTCCTGGGGCTCGAATCTGATGTGTTTTACGCATGGTCCTATAAGTTAACCCTTTCCTGTGGCTCCAGTTCCATGTGTCCTATAGATTCGCCCTCTCCTGTGGCTCGAGTCCTTTGTGTCTTACGTATGTGCTTGAAGATTACCCTTCTGCTGTGGCTCTAATCCTAAGTTAAGTGCTTACGTACATGCCTATAGATTGCAGTTTTTTCTGGGGTTCGAATATTGTGTGTTTTACGTATGTGCCTATGGATTGCCCTTCTCCTGTGGCCCGAAGCCTGAGTGCTCTGCGTATGCCAAAATGGGTGTGGGGCCGCCATGCGGACCCTGCCCCTGGGGCCTTCGGTGGAGCCCCCTCTGGGGCCGCGAAGCGTGTGACGGATGTGCCAAAATTAGGTGCGGGGCCGCCATGCGGACCCTGCCGCTGGGGCCTTCGATGGAGCCCCTTATGAGGCCGCGAAGCGTGTGCGGGATGTGCCGAATCGAGTGTGGGGCCGCCATGTGAACCCTGCCGTTGGGACATTCGGTGGAGCTCCTTATGAGTTCACGTAACGTGTGATGGATGTACCGACATGTACGCGGGGCCGCCATGCGGACCTTGCCGTTGGGGTTTTCGGTGGAGTCCCCCATGGGGCCACGAAACGTGTGAGAGTTGTGCCAGGACGGGGGCGGGGCCGCCACCGTTGAGGCTTTCCGTGGAATTCTTTATGGGACGACCACACGCGTGAACGTTGTGCCGAAATGGGTTCGGGGCCGCCATGCGGATCTTGTCGCTGAGGCCTTCGGTGGAAAGCCCCAGGGGGCCGTGAAGCGTGTGAGGGGTATGCCGAATCGGATGCGGGGCCGCCATGCGGACTTTTCCGAGGGGTCTCTTGGAGCGCTCCTCATGGTGCCACGGAACGTGCGAGGGGCGTGCTGGATCTAGTCGCGGGGCCGCCATACGGACTCTGCCGTGGGGGCCTTCGGTGGAGCTCCCTCTGGGACCACGGAAGATGTGAGGGGTGTGCCGAAATGGGGCACGTGGATGGGAGGAGGGGGGAGGAGGAGGTGAGGAACGCGGGGCGTTGCGTCTCGTAAGCGAGGATCCAACACCACAGGATGGTTGGGAACAAGCTAGGTAATTGTGCGCGCACCCTCGCAGAAGTCAAACACATGCGGGCTTGCAGGTATGTGAAATGGGATCATGCGGGAACGCGCGCGCGCAGTTCGGAGTCGTTACGCAGTCATCGCGCACACGCCAACTTTGTCAAACATTGCAACGCGGGCCACGCCCGCATCCCCGCGGGCGCATGTCCATGTGTGTTCCGAGCATTTCAGGGAAGAAGTGTGTAACAAGCGATGGCGAAACGAAATGCACTTAACAAAACGCGGTCAGCATTTCTGCCAACGCATTTCCTCAGCATCCTCATCGGCACCAGCGTCATCATCGCCAGCGTCAGTTTCGCCATCGCCATCATCACCCGCATTACCAGCACCATCGTCGCGATCATCACCAGCGTCGCAATCGTCTTCGTCGTTGCCGTCCCCCGCATCCTCGTCGCAACAATCGTCATCGTTGTGGTCGACGATGCCGCCACCATGATCACCCGCCCACCCCACTTCGGCATCGCAAGAATAAGTTGCGGTACCACACGGATCGCACCAAATAGTACATGGCACATTGTTTATGAACATACATATGCCTATATATATACATATATATATATATATATACGTATAGACATATATGTATGTATGCATGTATGTCTGTCTGTCTGTATGTATGTATGTACGTACGTACGTACGTATGTATGTATGTATGTATATATAAATATATATAGATATGTACTACCACCCTTTGGGCGATAAGGAGGTTGGGGGTGGGGGGAAAGAACCATTTGCTGGCAGATGCGATGGATATGATCATGACGATGCTGGTGTGACGCGCTCTCGACTTAGCAACGACGCGTGATGACGATGTTTCGTTGCGATGTAATGTCGTTATCGTCTTCGTTTCCTATCTCACCCGATCGATACCATTTTCGGCCTCACACGATCAGTCAAACTGGATCGATCTCACTATAGATACCACGATCGATCTCACTACAGATCTCTCTATAGATCTCGGCTTCGATCTCACTATCAACTCAGATTATTTAATCGATCTCATTATCGATCCCACGGCCAATGTCACAGTCAAGCTCACTGTCGGTCTCACTTGTGATCTTGCTATCCATCTTATGCGTGCGATCTCATTATCGATCTCAGAAAGAGCGCGTTCGTTCTGTGGTCGCTTGGAGGGGGGGGGAACCAGAACCCCCCCCCATCCTTCCTTTGCTTAGCCTCTCCTCGCGCCGGCGCTTGAGTCGGCGGCGGCTGGCGAAGGCGGCGGGGACGACGATTCCATTTCTGGGCCGGCGCCTGCGCCTGCGGCGGCGGGCGGCGGTGGCGGGGAGCGTCGACGAGGACGACGGTGGTGGTGGTGGTGGGTTGTGGTGGTGGTTGTGGCGGTGGTGGTGGATGTGGTGATGGTGGTGTCGTGGTTTGTCGTGGTGGTGGTTGTGGCGGTGGGTGGTGGTGGTGGTGGTGCTTTGGTGGTGGTGTGGTGGTGGGTTTATGTGGTGGTGGTGGTGGGTTGTGGTGGTGGTGGTGGTTCGGTAGTGGTGGTGTGGTGGTGGTGGTGGTGGTGGTGGGTTGTGGTTGTGGCGGTGGTTTGTGGAGGTGGTGCTGGTGGTGGTGATGGCGGTGGTGGTGGTGTGGTGGTTTGTGGTGGTGGTTGTGGGTTGTGCTGCTGGTAGTGGTGGTGGTTGTGGCGGTGGTGGTGGTGTGGTAGATGTTGGTGGTGGTGGGTTTTTGTGGTGGTGGTGGTGATCGTGAGTTGTGGTGATGGTGGTTGTGGTGGTGTGGTGGTGGTTGTGGCGGTGGTGGTGGTGGTGTGGTGGTTTGTGGTGGTGGTGGTGGGTTGTGCTGCTGGTAGTGGTGGTGGTTGTGGCTGTGGTTGTGGTGTGGTAAATGTTGGTGGTGGTGGTGGGTTTTTGTTGTGGTGGTGGTGGTGATGGTGAGTTTGGTGATGGTGGTTATGGTGGTGTGGCGGTGGGGTGTGGTGTTTTGTGGTGGTTTGTGGTGTGGTGGGGGGTTGTGGTGGTGCGGTGGTTTTGGACGTGGTGCTGGTGGTGATGGTGGTGGCGGTGGGGTGGTGGTGGTGGTGTGGTGGTTTGTGGTGGTGGAGGTGGGTTGTGCTGCTGATAGTGGTGGTGGTTGTGGCGGTGGTGGTGGTGGTGTGGTAAATGGTGGTGGTGGTGGTGATAGTGGTGGTGGGTTTTTGTGGTGGTGGTGGTGGTGGTGGTGATGGTGAGTTGTGGTGGTGGTTGTGGTGGTGGTGGTGGCTGTGGTGGTGGTAATGGTGGTTGCGTGGTGCTGGTAGTGGTGGTGGTGGTGGTGGTGGTGGTGGTGGGTTGAGTGGTGGGTGGTGTGGTAGTGGTGCGTCGCTGCGCCCACGCAGTCGCTGGCGACAGCGCCGGCGCGCTGGGCCGCCGCCAGCGCCGGCGCTGGCGCGAGGGGGGGGGGGTTGAAACCCTCCCCCCCCCGGTGCCAGGGGGGGGGGGCGGTTTGAACCCCCCCCTCCCTTGGGCTGCCTCTGGTCCTCGTCGCTGCTTTCCCGCCGTGGGCGCTGCTGGCGGCCGCCAGCACCGGCGCCGGCGCCGACGCGGGGGGGGGGGTTTGACCCCCCCCCCTTGGAGGGAGGGGGGGGTTCGGGAAGGGGGCGGGGTTGGGGGGGAGGGGAGCCCCCCTGGTTTTGATCGACGGCGCCGAGTGTTTTGGGGGGGTCCACCCCCCGGTTTGGAACGCGCCGCCGAATGTTCCCAAGGCGAGCGCCCGTGAAACGCGACCTCTCCAATCTCACGATCGACTTCACTATCGACACCAAAGCGAGCGACACCTGGCCACCGTCCGCCCACCGCCGACGGAACACCGACGGGACGCCAACGGGACACCGGACACCACGGCGGGACATCCCGGGCCACCGCGCGCCCACCGGGGGCAGAGGGGCGGTCCATTGCATCCGAGTCGCCCCAGCGACGGCGGGGTCATTCCCCTCGCGCGCCCACGCAGGTTCGCCTCGCACGCACGACACGAACGCGAAACCGAAAACAATTTCCTGGTGGGGGGGCTCTCCGTCCCAGTGTGATCTCATGCCCCAATCTCGATAGCCCTTCTCCTGAACAGTATCAGATTTCACCCTGCCCGCCACCGAGACCAGGGTTGACCGCACCTTCTTTCGCGATCGTCCTTCCGATCGTCAAAAAGTAGCATGCCAGCCAGTCCCAGCATCGCCCTCCGTCATCCCTGTCAAATAGTTTTCTGCCGCTACGAGAGTTCGGCCACAACGCAGCGCCTCCCGTCAGGCGACGGGGCCCGACAATGGAGGCGACGTCAAAGGGCATTTTAGGCAGCGGGGCCCCAGTACAATGTTCTGTTCAAGAATTGTGTTGCTCAAGTTTCGGGCGGAGCCGCCCTTACGAATTCGAAACCACCCATTCGAAGTCCCTGGTCAGAAATGTAAGATGTTTAATGCTGAACGGTGCGGTTATTTCGAAACGGCGGTGTCGCGGAGATTTCTTCAGAAAACAAGTTCGAACAGTTTCGAAATTGTTGGGTTCGATTCCGACATGGTGCTCCCGCCCAAGACCTCCTCCAAACTAGATTTCGGAACCTTTTTTCTGGTTCGATTTCGAAATGGCGCTCCCGCCCAAGATTTATTTCGAAACAGAATTCGGAGCCCCTTCGGGTTCGATTTCGAAATGGCGTTGTCTCGATCAGGGCTGCCTGCTAACTGGAACTCCCCTTTTGGCTCGATTTAAATTTCGGAATGGCCTTCCCGCCCACGACGTCCTCGAAAACAGAGGTCGGCACTCCCTGCGCTCGGAGTCGCACTGGCGCTCCCGCCTAAGACTTGCCCCTGTGGAAGCACGAAGCGGGTCAAAACTTTCGCAGCGCCGATTTATTTAATCGCTTCGCCATTCCGCCGGCCCATATTGTCGCACCGTTGTGGGCTAGCCGAGTTTTGGGGCCTCTTGGGGGCCGTTTTTGGGGCCTTTTGGGGCCTCTTTTGGGCCTCTTGGGGCGTCTTGGGGGCCTCTTGGGGGCCTCTTAAGCACGAAGCGGGTCAAAACTTTCGTAGCGCCGATTTATTATGCGGTGCACGCGCGCTGATCTAAGGCATGTTTTCCCCAAGAGCACGCTGCGCGGGTCACATGTGCGCCCCGCCGTGCGCGCATGTCAAAAGCATTGAAACCGAGCGGCGTTCTAACAAGGTCAAGGCGCACCGATTCAACTATCAAAATAACAACAAACAATCAATCAATCAGTCAAACAAACAAACAATCAAAAACAACAACAACAACAACAACAACAATCATTTTACCCGAACGTGTGGTGTTCTCCCCAGTGCCAGGGTTTTCATACGACACCAGGCAATACCCCCACTTCGTGGGGGGGCATTACAAGCTCTACCAAATATCCAAACGACTCTTCGCGACCACCCAAACCCAGCTTCCCGCCCTATGACGTTGGGACACTTCACTTCGTGGCGTGCGGACGACCGTGGCTACTACACTGGCGTGGGGTACACACCCACAGAACCCAATGGTTTTTGGAGATTTCGGCGTGCGCGCGCGAAGAAAAAACGAATCTGTCCCGCATGGTATTATTTGACAGGGATGATGGCCCTGGCAGGTGCGCAACCGTTGTCGCAGAAGTTCGAAAAAGTTGCTCGCAAAAGCCCGTTTGACAGAAATGTTTAAAAAGTGTTGGGTTTCCTACGAATCCGCAAGAGCGCGCGGGATGAGATTTTGACATTTTTTTGTTGAAAAACCATTGGTTTTTTGATGTTTTTATGTTAAAATCGCTCCGAACACTAAGCTTTTGGAAGGATTTCGTCTTGCGCGCGCGAATGTCCACTTTACCTTATTTTTTGCAAGGGATTCTTGAAATTTGATTATATTAGAACAAGAAATGTCATTTTATAGTGTTTTTTGCAAGGGAAAGCGGGGGGGAACAAAACAACCGGATCTTGATCACATCGAATTACCTGAGGCTTCCTCACGAAAATGATGAAAATGTAGCTGCGGCCTAGGCGCGGCGGGGGGGGCGTGCACCAGGGGGCCCAACAATAATTATTCTTTAGAATTAATAATGTTCAACAACAACAACAACAACAACAACAACAACAACGACAACGACAACGACAACGACAACAACAACAACAACAACAACAACAGAACAAACCAATCAACACACGTCGCGCTTCAACACAGATGACTGACTTACCCGCGCGAAATAGTCGAAATTGCCTCTACCAAAACTCTAGCCGTTATATCAAATAAGACCCACACGCTTCTTCGAGCGCACATGTTCCCATCGTTCGTATCAGCACCATCGTAATCATCATCGTCGTCAACGTCATCATTGCCATCGTCATCGCCATCATCACTGACGCCGTCATCATCGTCATCGCCGATGCCGTCGCCCTTGTCAAGTTTCTGCGCTTCCACTTCCCCATCATCCTCACAAGCATCATCGAAACGCGAATCATTGCAGTTACCGTTCCCGCGTAGCGCGGGTTATAAGATGATAGTCAAACTAGCCAGATTGGTTTCGATTGAAGGTCGCGAGAGGGTGAGAAAAAAAGGATATGGAGACCATTGCGAGTGAGAGTATTGGCCGCGCTCCTGTGGAACTCTAACCACAGACATAGACATTCAAGCGTTGCCCTGGCACCCCCGAGGCGACCGGTGGCGAGGACGCCTTCATCAACATCAAGTACATGGCGCCGCCTCCGCCTTGCGAGTTTTTCCCACGGGGTAGCCCAGATTTGCTGCGCAGGGATACCTATGGCACGCATCAGTTTGAGCACAGTTTCACATGGACCCATGGATAAGCAGGGAGTTGAGTTGACCTTGGCTATGCATTGAGCAGATATTGTCGGCTTCTGGTGCATTGCTTGAGGCGATGCCGAAGTCGAATGCGAAAGTCGAACGGAACGCATTTTTAATATCGCAAGAAATTTGGGAGAGAAGTGGTTTGCGGGACAGCGCAAATAAGCTGACAGATGCGCCGTGGGACGCCGATCCGAAAATAGGACGAGTTTGTTGCGAGACGTTGTAGGCAAGTTGCTAGAGTTGGATGTAAAGTATTACGATTGAGTTGGATATGACAGCATGCAGGGTAGCATGATGCGAACACGATCCAAAAGGTTTAATGTAGCATCGGATGCAAAGTTTGAAAAGAGCGTATTGCGAGATAGTCCAAGTCATGTTCGAAATAAGTTCTTGATTCTTCACCTATCTCCACCAGCCGATCCAATAAGAGACCAAGCGAGTTGCTTTGATCAGACGAAGGCGACGATGTTGACGACTAGGATTGCGACTACGACCACGACGAATTGACTACGACTACGAGGGGGAACTATTCAGGGAACGACAGTCAACGACTCAACCAGTGCAGCCACACTCCGTGTGCGTTCGATGCGTGGCGTCCGCGTCGTTACGTGCGTTTCGCGGCTCCTCGTGGCTGTCCTGGTGGAGTGGTTGCTTGTCGTTGCCTGCGGTGCCTGTTTTACGTCGTGCGTACGTGGGGCCGCCTTCGACGCCGATGGCGACGCCGCCTCCGACGCCGACGACGACGACGACGACAGGAGGCAAACAAATTGAGCGTCTTGGATGCCTCTTGGGACCTTACTGCCATCTTGGAGGCCTCTTGGGCCCTCTTGGGGCTCACTTGGAGCTCTCTTGGGGCCCTCTTGGAGGCCGTGGGGGCCATCTTGGAGGCCGTCGATCGAAAGAGGTGGGGTACTCCAGTGCGGTCCTCCTGTCTGGGCCCGAAATTACGAGGGTTGGCCTAGTGGGTTCTCTTAGGGGGCTCTTGGGGCGGTCTTGGGCGCTCTTTTGGCGGCGTCTTGGACCCCTCTTGGGGCCATCCTTAAGCCATCTTGAGGCTTCAAGGGCCCATCGGAAAAGGCAAGGGGAGAAGGCGAATAATCAGCGTGAAAAACACACACACACACACCCACACACCCCCACACCCCCACACACACACACACACACACACACACACACACACACACACACACACACACATACACATACACAACTCACACAACACACACACACACAACACACGCACACACAACACACACACAACACACACACACAACACACACACAACACACACACACAACACACAACACACACAACACACACACACACACACTTGGTGCTGGCGTCGTGATCACGCATGCAGCGGCGCGGCGAAGACAGTCGGGCAAGAGAGCGATGTGGGCCGGCCCAGGGGCCGCTCTGGGGCGATCTTCGGGGCTCTCGGAGGCACACTAGTATAGAGGCTATATTGAAGCACCTTGGAGGCCATCCTGGGCTCTCCGGGGCCCTCTTGGTTGGAGCCACCCGGTGCCAAAAAAGACCCCCTTGGCACCTCGCGGAAGGAGGGGGGGTCCAGACCCAGGGTGGGAGGGGGGGGGTAGGGGGAGGGGGGAACCCCTCCCCGAAGGGGGCAAAGGGAGCTAACAGAACAAGCTCGTTAGATTGCAGACCACTCACGTCCAAAAAACTGGTGGAATTAGTTTATCCTCCTCTCTCTTCTGTTTCCTCCTCCCTTGGTCCGTCATTGGTGCGTGATTGGCTTCGGCCAGCCCCGCGCGTTTTCGCATATTTGCCGCTGGCCTCCACGCTTTCCCATCTGCCCCCGCGTTCTTTTCAGCACGGGCGCTTGCCAAAATACGTGGTCGATTTCACCCTGTGGGGGATGCCTTGGTCGGCGTTTCGGAAAAAGAGTTCCAATTTCGGCTAGCTGTGGGGCCCCAGGGGCGTCGGAAACCATCGTGTTCCCCACTCGGCCCTCCGAAAGCCGCCGATGTCGAACGTTATTGTCCGTGTGCGTATGCGTTGAGGTGCCTCCATCCCTTTCCATGTCCTTTCGCCAAACAAGCTTGCCATGAGAAAGGGAAGGGCGCTCCAAGTGAAAAGGCCAGGAAGCAGATCGGGAACTAGCTCGAGAAGACGGCTGCAACGCCCTCCACAGAAAATGATGGCCTCCTCGTCATCTTCCTGGTCCTTCTCTTTGAGGTCCCCGCAGACGTTTCGAGGTCCCGCCAGGCGACTCGAATAAGAGCCGGCGTTGCGGGGTCATGCATCGTGAGATGTTGTGGGCGATGGTGCTTGACAGGGGTTGGTGGTGCTCTGCTGTTTAAAGAATGGCGTTACGCACTGAATCGCTCCAACATGAAGGTTCAAGCCAAACACCAGTTTGGAGAAGGCACTCCCGCTGGTGTCAAATCCGGTCGACAGAGTCAGCATGCATGCAAACAGTTCAGCCACGTACTTCTCTGCTGGTCTCTGTCCTCCCATGAATCGTACACCTTTCGAGGCACATGCGTGGTAGAGAGCCTCCAGGAGTGATTTGTGGCGTTGTTGCTGTTGTTGTTGTACATCCCTTGCCAAATCTGCATTCCGGTCGCATTGAATGTGTTGGGCCCTCTCTGACGGGACGCAGGTGCGCCTTGCTTGCATTCACATTATCCTCAGGCGGAATCCAATATTATTCGGACATGCGGGGGGCCAGTTCCGCTTCGTAATTGTTGACCGTCAGGGTCATTTTTGGGGGCTTCACGAAGCAGCACGATGTACAAACAACGGGTTCCATGGAACGAGAAAGCTCTGAGCGTCTAGGGCTCTCGAGACTGGGCACCGAACAACTATGAGCCACTCGTTGGCTATTCGATGGCCTTGAAGCTGGACGTGAATTTGCTGATGAGCTTGTGCAGGGCCAAGGCGCCCAGCGGCGAACAGCTAAAGAAGGCGAACCTACAGATCGGCTCTACTGCTATTTCAAGTGCACGGGTGCACTTGCCGACTACGATTGGCGCGCTAGCTTACGAGCGCATGTGACAGATGCCCAGGAGCAGGTTCGAGAAACAGACAAGCCATTCGAGGTCGAGAAGTCGAAGGCCAAGCCGTTGCAGGAGTTATTCGCAATGCTAGAACATCACATCGACGCAGACACATTGGCAAACGTTTGCGTCGTCATGGGCCAGATGTCGTTGTCGTTTCCCGAAAACCCCTCCACCACTGCATCAAGTTATGATGTCCGTGTAAGACGGTTAGGCACGTGTGCATGTGCAACGTGTGCCTCGCCGTGGTTGGCAATCGGGCTGCTCCTAGAACAATGCGAACATTGAAGGCACGCCACTGTCTTTCATTCGAGGAGTCTGGTTTGCGTTTCGGGTACGACCACCCGCGATATTCACAGCAGCACCTCGAGACTCCGAAGGAGACGACTTTTGCGGCGACGCTGAGCTGTGGCTCGAGTCGTTGGCATTGCCAGATTGCCAGGGGCCTTTTGGGCCTTTTGGACTCTCACCGTGGTTCGCAAAACTAGTATGATCTAACAGGGGATGCTTTGTGGGTCTAGCGAGGCTTGGGCGCACAAGTTCGTACTTGTTGCAGGTGTGTTTGCCACGGTTCCTCCCATTTCATGTCTTACCCCCCCACACGGGGGCTTTTCTTTCCGCCCATTCTCGCCCATCTTACCCCCCCCCCCACCTAACCCCAGCCTCCTTCCTCGCCACATCCTTCTCACTCCACGTCTTGCTTTCCTCGATTGCTAAATCCATCTAAATCCATCCTTGCTCAATGGATGATCGATGTTGTATGGCGCTCGAGGCTAACCATGGCAGTCTGCTCGCGGCGATTCGGGCCGCCTTCTTCACCTCCCTCTCCCGCCTCACCTCGTTCTCGTCTGCCCCCGATCCTCCATCATGTTTCTCCTCGCCTTAGTCTTCTTACGACCGCACGTCTCGGCAGCACTCCTCCCACTTGTGTCTCCTTCTCTGCCCGTCTCCTCCTCCTTCTCCTCGTCCGTTCTGCGCCAGTCTGTTGCAACCGCGCCTGTCCCCATCTCCCTCCTACACATCCTACTCCTCATCCTCTGTCCTTCTCCGCCTCTTGCGACCATATGATGCGACAGCGCCCTTCCCCCCTCATTATCATCATCATCATCATAATCATCATCAGCATCAGCAGCATCATCACAGTCATCCTCGTCACGATAATCATCAGTATCATCCTCATCACCATCATCATCGTGCCTCTTCTATTCTCTGTGAGCAAGCTCCTGCTGTCTCCGCAGCTTCTCTGCCCAAGTGCCCCCCGTCGGCCGCGCGTGCGGGCGCCTTATGCAGGTGGTCGCACAAGCGGCTCTCCAGGGCGCTGGGGAGATTTTGTTCAGGGGGCTGCGGGCCGCGCTCTACGAGCGGCTCGTGGCTGCCCCCCTCTCTGTGCTTCAGGACCAGGGGCCTCCATCGCCTGCCTGGTCCATCCAGCAGGCGGACTCGTCCGAGGGTGAGGGGGCCTCCTGCCCTCTCCCTTCGGCGGGTTCCACCTGCCCCACCGTCTGCCTCGGGCTGGCGGTGGACCTGAGCGGCGGGGTCTCTCCCTGGCTGCTCAGCACGGTCGCCGCCCTCCTCTGGGTGACGGCCGCCTGCAGCGCCTGCGCGGGCTGCTGCCTCGGGCTGCTGGGCCCGTACGTGTGGCGGAGGCTCTGGCCCTCCGCCTGGCCGCGCGGCGCGGTTCCTGCTTCACCTGAGCAGGACCGCCGTGCGGCGCGAGCGCTGGCCTACGGGGTTCCGCCTCGACCTCAAGCGCTCGAGCGGGCAGACGCCCAGCGTGCGGGCGGCGGCGTCCACGACGGCGCCCACTGATGGCGGAGCTGCCACCAGTTGGCGGAGGGCCCCTTTGGCCCGAGCTCTACCCTTTC